ACGCGGTATCGTCCTGCAGTCATACTCGTCGCTTGCCCAAGGTCGTCTTACGGGTAAATACACGGTAGACAACCCGCCGCCAAAGACATATCGCTTCTCTAGCTATGACATGAAGGATATCGAGCCTGTCAATGCTTTGCTGAAAAAGATTGCCGAAAAGCGCGGTGTGCCACTGAGTGCTGTGGCGCTGAACTACAACATGTGTAAGGGAATCACACCTGTTGTCGGTGTGAGGAAGGAGGAACAGGCGGTCAGCAATTGCGCGGCACTAGGGTGGAGGCTCAGTAACGAGGAAATTAGGGAGATTGATGGGGTTAGCTTCCAAGGTCATACTACGGCTTTGTGGCAACAGGGTTAAACTGGGAGGCTGTAGAGAAAGCAAATTGGAGATGTTGTGTAGTATCAATTTAGTGGTACCCCTAATTCAAAATTCATTCAACTCGCTGCCTTGTGTAAGGAGCAGATCACTAGGTGCGGTTGCACGTCGTCATCTGCACTTGTGTGGATTGCCTCGTATCGTAAAAATTGGATGCTTTGAGAGACCAATAGATCGTGGGTCGTAAAATCTTCGTTTGTAGAAGCATGAGTATCCCTCAGGTCCTGCTAATCCACGCTAGTCTGCGATTGCAGCTACACCTATACATTTACTTACTGACCTGACAGCTATTCTTCTTGACTCCGAAATTGGCAGGCAGTGACCCGTCTTCACTACTTGGTTGAAACATATCTGTTTATGTTATCAAATTTGCTTATCCACCTTAGCATTAAATATATTGGAAGACTGCGAGGGGAAAAAGACGACGTCAAGGCAGTGAAACATTGTATTCAGTCTGCAGTCTCGGTCTCGGTACTGACCAATCGTGGGTAGTGGAGAAGTGCATCTAGTGGTGGCCACCCCACGAAGAAGGGTCCGAGACATAGGTAATTTTGAACATGTTCATTCTCATCCTTTTCCTTTTCGTGTCTTGTTGAAGTCTCTCTGTGATCGGTAGTTTCCGTCCCGCTCCTAATATTACCTGCCTCAAACACCCGATGTATTTAGAAAATCACATTTTTGCGATCCATGATTACTCGCCTGACTCTTCATCTGCATTAAATTTCGCATTCGCTACCAGCAGTCGGCGTCCCACTCAGGAGATAAGGCATTTCTTCTCCACTGCCTATCCGCCACCACCATCGTCGTACGTTGTCCAGCGATCAATGGATCTTTTTCGCACACTTACACTTCCGACCACCAATGAAAGTATCATGACTTCCCTCGCACTCTGCCTCGCCATTTCAAGGCGTGCTGCTTACACGGTTTATTGGGGTCTGTGCTTGGTGATCTTTCGACACGTACGCAATGGGTGCCATACGCTATCTATTAGTGTGTATCGGCAGGTGGACATACTGACTTAGCCAGTGTTGCTACTAGGTACCACGGACGTAGTATGATGAGATGTTACTAAGGGTTTCGGGCGCTAACTAGTTATGGAACGTAACTAGGTGTGCTTCACTACCCTGAAAATTATCTGGTAACAACGGATCGCCAGAACAACACGTAACTACTGCAGGGTAGCCCATAACTAGACTCCAGTGGAAACAACAGGCCGTGCCAATTGACCTCGGAAGATGTACGAAGTACCTAGGTAAGATTCATATGTGCAACTTGCAGCTTAGATGCCCCCAGTTTTGCACTAAATCATCAACCTTACGGCCCCCGGCCTCACCTACTTCAGCAGGTCGCAATGCTAAGCACTCGGCTAATTGCTTAGTCCTGGACGAGAATTCTTGATACATCAGGTCCGTTTCTTGTTGCGCTTCCAAGATAGGTCGCGAACCTGTTCTCAACATCACGGACAACACAAACATCTTCAATGTCTACTCTCTTTTGCAAAAGCCAGATCCCACCGCGAACAATTCGCGGGGGTGACGGCATATACGGAATAAACCTTTGCTGAAGCTTGACAGCTCCATCTTTCCGCGACGTTGATGCAAGGCCCGCGACGCTAATGTAAGGCCCACGGCGCTTGCCCTCACGGTTCCACAGGTCCGTCCCGTCGCTCTCTTACCGCATACAATACTAGCGTATTTCTTCATGAGTCCACTGCTACGTACTCTTCTCCAGCTCTTTTTCTATGTTCCAGCCAATGACCGTTGCCATAAGGATCAGGCCTCCAGAAGACCCAAAGGCACATTCTTCGTACTCGTACTGTGTTTCTACGTCACTGAGAGAAGAATTAAACATATAAAGGCAGCTTCTGTTCTGCTTCCTTCTTGTCTCACATCTGAACACACACACACACACAATCTGTCTTTACAAGAAGCCCTACGAGAACAAAAATATACCCTCGAACCAATCTCGATCTCGAACACAATGCAGTTCAAAGCTCTAGCCATCATTGCCTTCATGGCCCTCACCGGCTCTGCCCAGAAGTGTGAAAAGGGCAACAACCACAACGCTGGAACGACCTGCCACGGCGCGACCGGAAACCTGGCATGCAGCAACAACTTAAAGCACGTAGTAAGTACTTTGGCGACCGCTTCCAATCACTAGGCCTCATCTGCTGTTAAGACTGAACTAACACCGTTCTAGCTTCGGTGCGGTGAGGATGGTAACTGGGCCAGGACCGAGAACTGTAAGTTGTGATCACAGAAGCATGACCTCTGGTGCATTTGTTAATGTTTTGTCTGTAGGCGGTGCTGGACTTTGCCTCAGTGGTGCATGCCACTGTGGTTAAGGGCGACGATCCTTATCACAGTAGGAGATATCTGATGATCTAAATATATAAGATCCGGTTGAGATGAAGCAGATGGGGAACGGAACGGGTGGGATCTACTTGGAGTGCTATGAATATAGCTAGAACAAAGAAATGTGAGAGCGCCGCTCATCAACCATTTGGATGCGAGAATGTGATGTAGTCACTATAAGTGCAAGTTGAGTCGTGATAGATATGATTACCTGCATCCGTCTTGACACATCGTAGCTCCTAGAAGTGACACCGTATACGATGAGCGTCTAATGGTGAGAACGAGCTGGTTTGATTATGTGCTGATGTCGCGATCAACATCTGCTAGATTGAAGCCAGTAGTAGCCAACAAGTACTGTCTTATTGTAATATGAGCTTTGTTATTGTTAGAAGGTCCGATAGTCTTGGAAGTCCTTCGAGGCAGACTTCCGTCAGTGTGCTCCAACAATGCTCCCCAAGCTGCGTTCACGTCTTAGATTAGTTGTGAATGTTACTAGAGCTGCATACGTCTACCATGACGCCAAGTACGACGTTGTGCCGATTTTTAGACGTATCAAAAACATTCAAGGCGTGTGGCGTATCTATCGACTGAGGAACGGCTAGCGTCTTAACCCGAGTAGGCATAGAGAGCTGAAACCTAAAAAGCAATCCCTTATCTCCGGGAACAGCAGTATCATGATCCCCGGACAGTCAAGTTAAGGTCGAGAACCAATACCGCTAAGCATGTTCGTCCTTGGCCCTACTTTGACCTAAGCCACGTCGGAGTAGGCGCCTTTGCCCCTGACCTCTACACCTAGGACTGAATACTGCCTATGCAGGGAAATAATATCTGCTCCCTAGATGGCACCAAGACACCGACAGACGACACTAGATCCGAGGGTGCCTGTTGGAGAGCGAGAGGCCTGTATTGCATACAAAGACAGCTGACCATGAGTCTTTCAATTGGGGCGGCATTGCCAACGAATGGACCCTAGGTACCCGTGGATGGCTGTACGCATCTATAAACACCTGAGTCTTGCGTGCCATTATCAAATTTGCGGCAAACACCCGACTTTTCTTGGGAGCTGCATCATATCCGCGTAATTTACAAGTCAGGAGTGGAGGATACCAGGGCACGTATCATACTATGTACTCTTGACATAAGATTGCGCTGCGGCAGCTGTAGCACACTCAACGAAAGACAGTGTTTGTGTTCGCCTAAGTAGTTACTAAAGCGGCTGCAATCAGATGGCGGGGCCGCTGATATGACCACAAAAGCATACCGACAAAGTCCTTATGAACAGCAACCAATCGCAGACACATCGCGAATGATCAATTCGCTTTGTTGATCGTTTTGAAGACGATGAACAGGAAAGTCGAACGCACGAGGCACGGAAAGAAGGAAGGATTAGGAGGTGGGTTAAGTTTACACTGAACCGTTCATTGCTCATCCTCATTTCAATATTTTCAACTACTAGGTCGTTGTGCCGTGCTTGGTATGTGCTTGTTGATCGCGTATCCGTCATTTGGATTTTTGTGCGATGCACCCGTGTGGTTTATGAGAGGTTCATGGAATTCTCTTGCCTGACAGGTCCTCATCGTGGACCGTGATCTATCATGACGTCGTGGGTAAGATCTTTCCGCAACTCCAGCGGGGTTAGACTGCGATATCTGGGCAAGCTTGCACGTGCTTAGACGGCCTTGCGTCGAACTAGGAAAGGAGAACTGGAGAGTTCCGCTACGGGTAGTCAGTTGACCGATGCTTTTCTTCGGTGAATTTGTTAGTCTTGTTAGCATGTTATCCGAGATGAAATGGTGGTCGAGCGGGAGCGAGCTTGCAAATAGGCTTGCCTCGCAACCTTGATGAGATTGTAAGGAACGAGCAGACGCAGCATCCGCGCGCGCCGTTCCGGGGACTACCGGCAGGGCGAGAAAATGCGGGCATGATGCCAGCTGATGGAGTTGTGAAAGTGCCGCAGCACGTGTAGATAAGATAGTCATGGTCAGAAGTGGAGATGTCGGTGCCGATCAGGGGTAAAGCACGTACCTCACCCCGGTCATCCCGCTATGATAGCAATCTTACACACCACTTCATTCGCCCAATACGTTTCATCGATCATGGAAAAGGCTTAGCCCTCATTTTCACTAGATGCCGCAATCCTGGCCGGAGGAACATAATAGCTAGGAGACACCCCAAGGTAGATTGTGCCGGTTTCCCTACTTTTGTACTACCTGCCCACGGTACTAGTCCTAACATCCACGCACCTTACGTGGTGGTGTGGGAGAGTAACCATGTCGTTCTTGGGCGACCTCTTCAGTTGTGGTCGGGCGAGACGGACGCGCGAGACGTCGACGGAGCCGCTTGAAACAAACGACGCGACGCCCGAGCCCGTCAACGCGCATGGAACTACTGCAACCACCGACCACCCCACGATTGAGAAGCCGAACAACATCCCTGCGTCCAATGAAGACGGTATCGAGCGCGTCGCAGGTCAAGTGCGAGCGGATGTACAGCCTGATGTCGAGAAACGTGGTAGCGGATTAACCAAGGATGGTGATATAGAGCTGGCAGTCATCTCCGAAAAGTCGAAGCCAACTACGGGATGGATGGTCGAGCAGAGGGTCCTTGTCACAGCTACGCCCGCCACCAAGCAGGACACGTCTGTGCCAGAGCCAGAGCAGGAGCCCGAAGAAAAGCATGAGCAGGAACACGAGACACGCGCACCTACCCCACCTGTTCGTTGCGCCACGCCTGAGCAGGAACCATGGAACTCAACGCCAGTTGCGCAAGCAGCAGAGCCTGAAGTTTCCCACATCGCCATCAGTAATCCTGTTCAGTGTGCGACGCCCGAACCAGAAACTCGTGCGACCACCCCAGATGTAACAGCGGTTCATGAGCAGACACCTGAACAGGCTATCACGCTCGTACAAGATGAGACCTTGGAACCCGCCCTCGCTGAGCCCGCCTCGTCCACCGTTGAACTCGATGATGCCGTTGAGCATGTTCCGACATCGAAGAAGTCTGCGCCAGTCCAGCTGCTTGACTTGCCACCAGGTATGTCAGGCCATAGTCGCATTCCCCATACATGCACTAACGAAACACAGAGATAAGGAACCGCATCTACGAGCGCATGAGCGAGGAAATGCCCATCAGGATGTGTCGACACGACGACCCGGCGCTGGCTCAACGCGAAGGCGAACCCGCGCGCTCTCCGCGTAGACAGTACTACAACCTCACTCAAGTATGCCAACAGATTCGCAATGAGTTTCTGCCGATATACGCGAAGAAGGCGCACTACATCATCGACCTTTGGAGCCAAAAGTCGAATCTTGTCAAAGTGGATTCTCTCAAGGGTCAAGTTTCCTTGGACATCGATGCGGCGTGCTTCGATATGGAGCCTATCGACTTGTTGCCGCTCATCCGATGCCTTGTCCGCACACGCCGAACCGACTGTCGTTTCACGTCTACCGAGGGAGTAGTCTTCCGCAGCATATCCGAGATCGTTGCCGAGCTTAACAAGCTTCTCCCGAATCCCGAGAACAGCAACCAAAGCTGGCTGACCGCGGTCAACGGACCACTGAAGAGGATTGATTTGCATCTATTCCCCCACGACGACATCCGACAATACTATCGATTCCGAGGTGCTGAGCCTCTGCTGCGTGTAGTCTACCCATCGGCCGTGAGTGAGGAGTGGATGAAGCGGGCTTCCAAGTCGGAGGGATATGAAGCCTACTTGCAGAAGACTGGATTGGACAAGTTTGAGATGCACGTTGTTGTTGGCCACGCCTCTCGACGGACTACGAACGAAGGCCGCCTGCCACTTGATTGGCGCATGAGCTACCAGCTCTCGAGGCACTCAATCGACCGCGCCCCTCGCATGTCCATGGATATTGCAGCCGCTCGCATGTCTATTGACAGAGCCCCGCGGATGTCATGATGATAACTTGATAATGTTTTGATTGAGAGCGTACCTAGCTGCCAGTGCTTACGTTCTGCACTTTGCGTGTGAGCTGTCTGCCATGTTAGGTATGGCTTTTTATGATTTCTACGAGTCGCAGGGCCCGTTCTCTTGTAATGTTTCTATGGGAAAGCAATGTACCTGAAGATGCACGTTGTAAAAGTGCGTCAGGCATCCCTTGGCGAATGACGCTGATCCGCAGCTGTTATGGGCGGCCTCATTGATTGTCCCCGTTTATGTTCCTCCGTATACCCAGAAGTCAATCTAGTGTATTTTCGTCTTTCCAATTATTGCATCATGAGTGAGAGAAACCTGGAAGAAGAGCAGCCCGCAGCTCCGAAATGCACGCCCAACTACGACACTAGTGATCCACTCCAGCAAGAGGTCACGCGCATACTCCGAGGTTTCAAAAATGACATTCTCGGCATCACATTCCTAGGCAACGATGGCGTCTTGCGCTCTTTGACAGCAGATCGAAAAGTGCTATCTGCAGAAGGCCTTAGTAAGCCTCTCTTGTACGAGAACGGCTATTGTTAATCCAGTCGTACAGGCCCTGAACTCATCGAAGCTTTTTTGGCTCGCTTCCCGGAAGAATACAAGGCGAAGATGACGGATCCTGTGTTCGCGGATGGCACCAAGACACCGAAGGAGAAGTGGTACGAGCCAGATCCAGGGAGCCTGCCGGAGCCGTTGTCGCGGGAGGAGATCGAAAAGGTCAAAAACCAACCAGAAGAGCTGAAGAACATACTGCAGAAACGGTTGCAAGAGGACAAGAAGTGAGTCGTGATGGCATGTTATGATACGGCTACTAATAATGCAAAGCCTTTTAGATGTGACTGGGGTGCTTGCTTGATTGTTCAATTACAGGCGCTTGGCGAGCTGCCATGCAACGATACGCCATGCGAGACAAGTGAGCCTATCAACAACGGGACGGATGGAAGATGGATGCGTTGTTTCAATCGCCCGAAGGATATGGTCGCGTTTCGAAGTGTGTGATGCGTGACATCATCCACACCACATGTTAGCTAAGACGTATAGGCTTCTCGAACCTCAATACCTTTTGCCAAATGTATCATGCGCGTCCACGTCAAGAGTAGCTCACAACTTCGTAGCAGACCAGCTTTCGTCTGATCTTCACTACGACAAGCACCGTCCAGAGAACTTAGTAGTACTTAGCTACATTGCAGTAAGATGCGACTAGCCAGATATCTTAGTAGATCAGATCTCAGCAACGTTGATACTATGTCGTCAGCTGTCATACTGATTCGGATATAGCAATCCATAGCCACAGATCCATCTCCGCTTGTAATTAGTGATCAGCAATATGATTAGAAAATGGTAAGGTTGACAGAGCTTCAACGCTGCGTACGCCATGTAATCATCGGTGCATTTCCTCGCTAACACTGCACGAAATCATCAAGCTGGTCTCACTTTACTGCTTGTGGACATCGCGCAGACTCTGATTACTACTCCAACGCCACATAGCACATCGCCGCATGCTGAATGATTACTGTGCTTGATAATTATATTGCAGTGGGCATAGACTTCACCACGGAGCTGTCATTCCGCCACTCTATCGACAGGTCTCACATACCAGTGCAATTCCCAGATGTCTCGCAGAGCTTGCACGATGGCACAAGCTATACTGAAAGACAGATCGAAGCATGACGGCATGAGGGTAGATTGTAAGGTGTTCTGGTAACCTCGGAATTTACTTCCAGGTCTAAGGAACAGCTTTGAGCGTCGCTACCATGGTTAACAACTCGATAATCGAATTGCACACTGAAGACTCTTTGAAATAGCGCTAGATTGCGACCGGGTATTTGCTCTTAGCCCGGATTGCGGGTCCATATTTGAAGAACAAGAATGGGATGGGTACCATTCCTAGGGAGAGAAAACCGAGCAGCGAAGTCGCCCAACCGATACCGAGAGCGTCATACACTAGTATAAATATCAGCTTATGTAATATTATTATGGTTACGAGCCTGTCACAGGCGCATATCATGACATACTTTGTACAGTGAAAAGTGGAAAGACAGCCCCAAGTATATATCTGACTATTCCGTTGGCCGCTATAGCCGATGCACCGTTCATCGCGCCATATACGTCTGAAAGATACAGTGCAGAGGATGTCTACGAAAAAAGCTTGTCAGCACCAATGTATCGCAAGTTCGGGTCACGATACGACTTACGAAAACACAAAGATTACCCCATGCGAACGGTATAACTCCAATTATAGTGGGAGCCCAGTGAACGCCCTGATCAGCGCACCAGCCGAACCAGAACAAGCCAACGACCATGCCCCAGGCACCACCCATTGCGCTATACAAGCGATGCTCGGGATCAACATGCAACTTGCCATTCGAAACTGTCTCTCGATATTTTTTCTGGTAGAGTGTGCGATCGACGATAATGGTAGTTATGCCTCCAAGAATGACGCCAATCAAGATGGGTATAAACACGAGACCAGACTGAGAGGGTGTGAAAGAGTACGGCGGCCTTGTGAAGACGTAGGGGAAAGCTGCGAAGAACAGGAACAGCACTGCAAAGGCGAAACCTGTATAAAGCGAGAAAAAGAACACCACTGGCTACGCAAGATTAGCTGAAGATCAATGGGGACTGACCAGGCACTGGCAAACATACCTCCGTTGAAATCAGATGGAGAGGCCGAATAAACCTCATCACTATCTCGCTCGTCAGATCTGCAGTCTCCTGTTTTGTGACAATTCCCTGCTTCTTTGCTCGCTTCTTCAGAATCATCGGCTTGTACGTTTCACTCATTGGTAGAGCGGTGATATACACAAATAAAGCAAGGAAGAGGATGCACCATTGGGTCCACTTCCAAGTCTTGTACTGCGCAACGAACCCTCCAACAACAGGTCTGTCACTATCATTAGAATCGCAAATCCCATGGATTAAGGTGCCACCTACCCAATTGAAGGTCCAGCAAAGGGGGCCATCAAGAACAAGCTTGTAGTTAGGGCGCGCTTATGTGGTGGATATAGATCTGCGTTCGTCCCCGCACCGACGGCAAGCCCTGGACTACCCGCTAGGCCTGCGAAGAACCGACATATGATCAGGCTCGCATAGCTTTTTGAAAAGCCTGCACCAAGCGTAAAGAGCATAAATATAGGAAAGAAGAATAAATAGACAGGTTTTCGGCCTTGTCTTTCGCTAAAGGGTGCGGTGAAGATTGGACCAAAGGCGAGACCGAGCGTATACAATGTGACTCCGACAAGCGCAGCGGTTCGCGATACCTGAAAATCGCGCATCACGTCTGCAATTGCAGGTGAATACACAGACGTGCCGAATGTGCTGAATCATTAGTCTTCCCCAGTAGTATATCCAAATTGGCTTAAAACTTACACAGCAAACCCAAAGACGGCTGGGATCGTGGTATGATAAGCTGCTTTCCATATAGACCAATTGTGCGGATTGTCGGGGTCATCAGGGCCGTTCCAGTCTAGAGAACTAACAGGCAATGTGCTCGATTCATCCTTATCCGCTACTCGGTCGCTGGCGCGTTGTTCTTCCGAGATGTTCGCAGTCTGGCCTGGAGGCTGATGCTCGAAATCGGAATCTTCCTGCTTTTCAGCAAGGGCACTCTCTGGATCATGGATAAATGTCGCATGTTCCTCTTGGTGGTGACGGGAACTCATGACGAAGAGTCCGGTAGGGAGGTTGAGAACGATGCAGATTGAATAAGGGTTTGTTGGCACTTCCTATGATATGTAGTAGGCCAAGAGTGCACGTCCTATTGTTTACTAGACTTTGTGATCCCATCGCTGTACGGAGCCCGCAGTACGGCCGCACGACGAAGCGCCACAGATTCAGATCTGGCATTTTGAATTACTCACCAACCGTGGGGGTGCGATAAAAGAGAGGTTTCGACTGAGTTGGATTGAAACCGGCGGCATTGATTGGCTGAGTGCTGGGGATCCGAGGCTCGTTATTGTGTTTACTGATCATGCACTGCAGGTCTGAAGCAGTGGCGTGCTCGTATTGAGTCTCATCACGAAGCACGTCAGAACCAGAGTAATATCACGTGTACATACTCGATTCCAGTAACCTTGGGAGAAAGCTGATAAATGCGTATGTTTGTTGTGGTGATGAGTAGTAAAGAGAAAGGTTGAGAACCGGAGGAGCGAGATGTTGAAAAGCCACGATGACATCATTAGGTACATTGGGAAGTGCTGCCGAGCAACTTCAAACTTCGAGCTTATTACTGGGCGTGTATCGTAAGTGCCCATCATGTTTATCTGTTTCTCTTGCTCTACATCCGTTCGAAATAACCTTGTCATAGCCTCCCAGCTGCAGGCGGAAGTATCCTCTCAGCCCAAGACACTTTTGCTGGCTCTATCACCCAAGCCTACGCAGAAGTTAGGCAACCCTGCAACCCTGCTGAATGACTATTGCAAGTATTACGATACAGACTGGAGCGAGGAGGAGCTAGAATGACTGAGAAGAAGCAGGAATGCGGGTAAGTAATACTAGAACGTAATGTATGTATATGTTGCGCTATTGTATTGGCAAAACATATTGCGACGGAACTAACGCTTAAGTATGCATGGTGATATAGGTTACGTGCGATGATTGTGTTCTTCCAAAGCTTGAAGCGGGCGAGTGAGCGATCAACCGCGTGCGCGCGTGTTGATATCTGACGCATCATCGCTCGGCGCACACTTCATTTTGTCGAGCTCGGTGATTGAATCCCGATGAAACTTCGTTTTTTTGATACCAAAAGACACCAACAAACCCAATGCGCCGACAATTGTGTAGAAGATCCACATCCCTCTCAGTGCCCTCGTGAACCCGTGGCGAACTATGTGGGTCTGAGATTCAGTAAGTTCAGTGATGATGACACTCTGAGACATAGCTTCGCCTCCAGTAAACTTCAAGGCGATGTCCTTCGTGATACCACTGTCAATAATCTCCTTGGAATATGGAGCCATGAGGAGCTGGAATACCACTTGGCCTATGACAAGACCAATCGCACCTGAAATCGTGCGTACAAAGCCAAAAGCTGCGGTACCGGAGGCGATATCTGATTCTCGAATCCGTGTTTGCAGAGCAATGAGTGGTGCACCGAAATTGGGACCAAATCTAGTCTATTCATTAGTAATTGACATATGTGTAGAGATTGTGTACACGAACCCTAGGCCGATGACAATCAGTACCACAATGATGATTTCGAGATCTGGCGAAGTACTCAGCGAGATAAGCAGGCCGACTCCAAGTGTCATAATAAGGAGTCCCATTTGAAGCGGCTCGAGAAAGCGACCAGTCTTTTCGATGACATGGCCAGACACAAATGAGATCATCGCTAACGGTATTGCGATTGCGAGCATGTAAACTCCTGTGGTACTTCAGATAGAAGGGTGCAAAGTCAGTATATGTTTCAGATCCGTTCTTCGAGAATACCACTTACCTAGAGCTGCGACCAAGGACAACTTGGAAGTATAGAGGTAGAAAGTAAGCCACCGAAGTAAAGACTAGAGTGTCGCATGCACAAACGGCTAACGCGCAGAGGTTGCTGATATCTTTGGATATTCGCAATGGCATAATTGGGCTCCCACCATGTTGAGCTACCCAATATTGTGAGAAAGGAAAGGCAATGTAGGCGATCGGTCCAAACACCAAGCACGTAAGAACTCCCGCATTCGAGTATGATGTAACACCACCTACTTGGAGACCAACAAGCAGCAATACAGTAGCAGTGACGATTGTGATAGTACCTAGCCAGTCCATGGCTGCGAGGCCGGCCATGAGAGGTACTCGTG